ACAACGACGACGACGACGATGATGATTATGATGAGGAGGATGAGGAGGACGACGACGGCTAGAACATAAATTACCAGGAGGCTTAGAGGGACACCTCGCTCATACTGGTAAAACATGGTAAAACATCCTTCTGGCCCGGCACTGCTTTCGCTGCTCGTGATGCTACTTGTTGTGTTGTGGTGAGGAAAAAATACAACCAGATTCACAATAATATAAAAAACCCTGAAACCATACAAGCCCTAACCCTTCTAGTCCAAACAGTAACCCCACCTATCCCAAAGCCTAAATGAACAGAAAGACTCTAAAACCTTGTTGCTACAGAGGTGGGCCCAATCATGCCCAATCGATATACACCAACAGGAAGAGGAGGCAAACGGCAAACCTCCTGTTATGTGGGCGAATTTTACTGATGCTCATCAACGCGGATCTGCATCTCTACAACGAAGGCCAACATTCAAGGTTGGAAGAGGCAGTGAGAGGACAGATCGCAGCTAAAACAGCTCAAATGAATCAGATCCCATCAGTGAAGGCCAGCAATTGCTAAATGGCGCTGCAGTGCTGAACTGTTCAGAAGAATTATAGAAAATTATATACCTACAAGACAGGAGGGTTGCACGAACGGAGCTGCAGTTCACAGCCATAATTTTCTCTGACCACCATCACAAGAACAGCATGAAGCCTTGAGGAGCTCATGTGAGTGTAAGATAGTGATAGATAGTGACAGATAGTCATAGATACAGTAGTGTAAGATAGTGTTAATTTGGAGTTGCAGAGTTGCAACGAAGAGACTCCCAAAGGTGCGCTGACACCGATTGCAATCTGTCACCATCTGAAGCACTCAAAGCTAGGATCCAATTTATTGTGATTGGGGGTCATTTCTACCGAAGAACTATGGAAGATCAGACAAAGGAACGACAGGAGCAAAGAGAACCTGCTATCAAATTGTCAAATCTGGTTTGCCAGTGTCAGAGACAGCACTTGCCAGAAAGGAACGCATTGTCAAAAATCAAAGCATGGCACAATGGCAGAGGGAACATCGTGACAAATAGTCCGGATGCAACTAGATCTCCTAGGGTATCCTGCTCTGGCCGTAGACAGATTGGACCATGCTTTTTGAAATGTTTAAATGCCCTTAAACAGCGATTGCAAACATAAACACCAGTCTCGTCAAATCCCTGGCCTCATGCATAAGTAGGGGCATGATGAGGTGCAGCCTCTATTTCAAGCAGTTTCAGCTTGCGCTTTCTTTGAAACATGTAAACACATGGAAAAACATGCAAGGTGTCACTTTATCACACTTTATCTACAGTTCTCCTTTCGAACTTGGGGCCGAGACAGATCCCATTGAAGGTGCTGGCCCCGCTTGGCTTAGGGTTCCAAGACCAAAGTCGCCACCCTTCGAAGTAAGTCTGCACTTGAGATGCAATTAAAGTCCAGAAAACATTTGCGACCAGCATTTGTAACGCGCAGAAAAAGAAATCATTCTGCTGCGAGCATCGGAAAAGGAGATTGGCAAGACCATTCCGAATGCGCGAGGAAAAAAAAAATCCCCTGATTGGTGTGAGACAGCCAAGATTCAAGTGCCCCATTTTATGATAGCGACGTAAATGTTTGATGTTGTATTGGTTTGAATTCAGGACTTCCGATGCGTGTTTGAGAAGTCGAAGTCGTCGCTTTTGCGTATCCAAGTGCTTTCCCTGTTTCAAATTCAGCATATGGCCACTTCTACTACCTAATCGCATACAGGATTAAAAAGTTCACCTCCTGCGATCCTAATTAGCATTGTAGCCACTCCTACAAAGAACTGCCTTTCGTTCAAGCCAAGTTGACGCCAAATATCTCGAACCTTGAGCCCTATCTAATCCTGCAGTCAACCACACAGTTGCGTCCAACGGGCACCATGCCCTCCAGAAGGTTGGGCAAGAAAAAAAGGCAGTCTGATTGGCCATAAGTATCCACAAGTATCCATAAGTATCCGTAAGTTAATAAACATTGCGCAGGATTCCCACACAATTTGTGTTCTCTTGAGGCCAAGGAGTAAGGGACGAAAGCTGGCTGGGAAGGTACGCGGAGAACGAGGAAGGTGTGGTGAAAGAACGGTGTGGGAGATACGACGTGGAAAGTCTGATGATGCTGATGAACAGGCGTTTATTTGTGAGGGGGGGATTGAGACACGCCAAAACTGCTTCCAAACCTGGCAACACTTTCTAAAGCAAGAATGACTTCAGCTAGCAGAAGCTGCCTTTCGTGAACAGACAATGGCAAAGAAAAATGAAACTTGTGCTTTGCTTCAGCTTCATACTTTCTACCGGCCTGGTTGAAGAAAGCATCAAACACACTGCCACTGAGAGAGGGAGAGAGGTGGGGGGAATAGAGAGAGAGAGAGAGAGTGAAAGGGCGAGGGGGGGAAGACGAAGAAAAATGATGAACAATCCCCATAACCTTGTCTGTGATAAACCTACAAAATTGTGTAGTTCACCTGCAGTTCAACGGCCCATGAGAAGGAACAGTGCAGGACTTGGGGTTCTCCATTCTGTTGTGGCTCATGTGAAGGGCAAAGCGATGTCCTCCGATGCATCTGGTTGACATTTTCTTTGTAACTCTTTGATTGTGTGCATGCAAGTTTGGGGCAAGCTGATCGCGTTCATGTTGGTCTGTGCATGTGCGGGTGTTCGAGGTGGGTATGGGCAGGTTCTCTGAATCCCCTTCCAAAGTGACGTCCACAACTCTCTGCGTCTCCCAGTGTGGTTTCGCTTCTGCACTATGCTTCCATTCACATTGGCCATTCTCACACTGCATTACATGAGCTTCAGAGGCTTTGACCACACCAGCTCCAAAGCCACCACCCTGCGATGGGCAGAGAACTCTTTGATCTTGCATTGACTGCCTTCTATCCTTGTGCTCATGATTTGACAAAGATTTGACTGAATGGATGATGGATGGAGGGAGGATTGGATTGAACTGTGGATACTTAGATAATGATAGATAGATAAGTGGATCAGTCGTTGAATCGGCCGGTAGATTGGTAGATGAGTAGTCTGCAGGACATCCATCCTTCATCACTCTGCAGGGTTGCGAGCAAGTGTTTCGGGCAAAGACTGACTAGCATTCATGACAGTATGAGTCAAGCTGATAAAAGTATGAAGAGTCAAGAAGCATGCTTTTTGTAAAAGCAGAGTACTCGGGCTCTCTGAGTTGAAAAAACCTGGCTTCATGGAGCGTCCTCGCATGAGAAGGCAGTGAATGTTCGCTTTCAAACATACCATCCACAGCGAATGCTGAAGGTGCATCACTCTTTATCAGTCTTCAAATCAAAATAGCCAACATGTGATTTTCGCAGGACGAGTTTTCTGGCATCTGCTCAAGGGCAAAGCACGGTCCTCGCTGGACACGCTGTCCACTGCCTCCATGAAAGCTTTGGGGCCTTCCACTGGATGCGTCGGCACCCTGCAGCATTGCGACATGAAGTCATTTCAGCCAGGGGTCCAGGCACCCTCCAGTTTCTCATGCTGTCCATTGCATCGCGCGTTTTGTTTTCAGACTTGATCTCTAGATTGCTCCAGAAAGCAAAAACTGAGTGCCAGGGCATGCCATGACCAAGGTTGCAAATGTACTTTGGCACCCCTTGGTTCTACAAGAATGGCAACACTTGCAAAAGGGCCTTAGACAAGCTGAATAAAATGCATTTAAGTCACTAAAGCTGAATAAAATGCGGTCCTCTAAGGATCAAACCAAATTCCTTGACCATTGCGACCGTTCTTTCTCGAATCTGCTCTGTGTCTGCATATAGCCTCGGAGTGCGATGCAGGAACCCGTCGTGGGAAATTGATGGAAATTGAAGTATCTGTCCAGTATCTGTGTCTGTTTGAGTCCGGGACAAGTGAGGATCCAGATTGCCCTGCAGCGTCCTGTCATCAGAATACCAGTGTTCCAATGTGTTCCAGCAGTGCCACAGGTTCAGCAATGGTTTGACAGTTTGACCATGAAGTCTCTTTTTTTTCTTTCTTTCCATCTCTGTCACTGACTGGAACGTGTTGTATCCTCAATGTATACCGGCACATGTCGGTTATGACACTGCATATACCTGTACAATGTCGATTTGTTTCTCAATATAACACATACATACACATACAACATGCATGTTCTGTGCGCAGGCGAATGTAAACAATGCATTCCTTTCTTCATTTGCAGCTCCTTCCAGGTTGTCTGTTTTTTTTTGCCAAAGTGGATTTCAGAGAAGCACAGCAAACAAACTGCTTGGCAAGAGTATGCCACTTCGCAGCTAAGAGGTTGTTGCAAAGAGTAGCCGAATGTCGCTTCAGTAAGGCAAGAATAGAATCATTGAATGAGACACGATTGAATGCACACTGCTGCTTCTATGTAGAATTGCAAGCATCTATCAGCAGGAAAGTTGATCGTATTTGGAAGCATACATAGAGAATGTTCAAATGTCCCAAAGCAAGTAACGCCATGAAAGAAGCTGTCCCAACCAGTTGAACCATGCGTGTATGCATGCAAACATGCCCGGCAGCACTTGCTCGGACAACTTCTCCGCGCCTGGCAGCAATAAAATTCTGAAGTCAACACAGCACGCATAGCACGCTTTCCCATCTTGCGTACTTGGCTGGACACTCTACTGCACACATCTGCATACAGGGTCTTTGTTTCCCCCAATGATGCATCTGATGCACTTGGACAAGACACTAAGCAGAAGGTAAATTTGCACATTTTTTACACACGGCTTTGATCTTCACGCCTCCGCCGGAGACGTCGTCCAGCTCACTCCAACCACATCAAAGTCGCTGTCTTCAAATGTAGCCATCCTCAGAAACTCACACTCTCAGAGAGACGGGAAGAAAAGTTCTGGGTCTCTGCACCTTGAGCGATGTGATTATGATTTGATGCAATGGGAAAGTAACATTTCTGATCTACGATCATGATCTCAGCCACCCAACATATGCTGGTCGATTATCTGGATACCGCTTGCATGTTTCAAATCACTGTTTTTGCTTGTGACAATACAAATGACCACACTCAATCTTACTCTCTGAAACCCTCATTTCCAAACCTTCCGATTGCATCAGCAGCGCCAGGACCATTCTGCAGCTGACTGGAACCAAGGAAACCCCAAACTAAGGTTTTACCCGAGTCAGTCCATGAGAAAGGAGGATGTTAAAGCATGTTGCTGAACTGCGTTTTATCTGAAGTGTCACGCTTAAGGTAAGTGCAAAAGGTCAAAAAGTACCACTGTTTTATACCTGACTAGCTCCTAAGTGCATGGGGTTATTCTTTGACGTCGCTACCTAAATCTAAAGGTCGTCCAGCTGCTGACCTGAACAAATGCTTGAAAACAACTAGCTGACCGTCCAAAGATTGATGTGTATATGTGGATCATCGTGAGACACCGGGCCCTTCTTGTCAATGTCAGGAACCCAAAAGATCAAGCGAACTCCAAAGTGCTGCACTGTCGCTGAGATTCCACACTCCCCATCTTTGGGGAACACAGAGACCAGAGCGCCGGGGCGTCGCTTTTTCACCTCACATTGACATGATCTGAGCTGGCACTGATCAGTTTTTCAGGATTAACCGAGCTAATGACTCGTAAAAAAAGATATCAAAAGTGCCTTTGAATGCAGACAACTAGACAGTCCCACATCAGGGTGAAATGAGCAAATAAAGCACCATGACCATCAATCAAAATTCTGAGAGCATGAACGTATTCGCTGCTTTGCAAATAGAAATTTCAGCAATTTGAACAGCTCCAACGATGCATATTCCGGGTCTTTTGCAGGGCTCAAATATGCTCAACTACTGTCAATGCCAGCCTGTTATGGGTTTAAAAGACAACAATCTCAAGAATGCCAGATCCGAAACCGAAACCCAACCTACCTATAAATCAGATTCATTGCTCAAACGTGTTGATTCCCACCGATTTCTCCAATCCTAGGCATTGAACTGTATATTGGTTTAAACTTTTTGGGTAGAAATTTCAAGGGAGGCATGGTCGCATGCCTTATTTTTTCTGGCCTCTGTAGCGATGTATTTCAAGTCAGGCACACAGAACTCGTCGTAGAGCCTGCAAGTTTGCGAAGACAGACCAAACGACCATATCACCAAATCACATCGAAAGACTTCAGACGTGATCTAGCTAAATTTGCGGTAGCAATTTGAGAGAAATACCGGCATCCAGCAAGTTTCACGTCTAAAATCTAAACATTGACAGTATACTGCTACCTATGAATACTCACAGATATTGTATATACATGCAAATATATGCTCCTTAGCATGATCTGAGAGTACTTGCAGAAGCACATTGTCTAACACTCTCACAGGGTCAATACATCCATCACCACCCATCATCAGAACCAATTCCACAGCAACAATTGATTCTTCGACGCCAGAATCCGCTAGGAAAAACAAACAAAGCCTTGGTGGGATCTCACCGCAATTGGTGTCAAAGACCTCAGCGAATTGATGTCCCAGAACATCTGTCAAACCCCCGGAGTGATTGAGATACCCAGCCGTCAACAGCGGTGCTCCAGAATCGAATTGACCCACCAAATACTCAACCTCGATCAGGGCGAGTCTACACAACAACGTAGCATGAGAAGCGAATTTCTTTTCACGTGGGAAAGTGCATTCATTTCTCAGCAAAATCCAATCCTTTCACATCAGTTCAAAGGATCCAGCCACGATATCTCGTAGGGCAGAAAGCAGCTTGCGAGATGCCTTTCAAGATACAGCTGTCAAAAAAGCCTCAAGCTTCCCTGAGTCTCAGCCTCCCTCTTTTCTTCAAAAGTTCATCACTATCTTCAGATCTAAGCTAGCTAGAGCTATGCCAGAGCTTTGCTTTTATAGTCTTTTAGGTCAATGCCCGGCCTCTGGGTAAAGGTAGAGCCATTTCTTGGCACGATCAAAGCTGCGAACAGCACCACCTTCAATGGCGCACACCCTACCTCTGATGCTCTCAAGACATTTCAAGCACGCACTGTCTTGCAGACGAAAAAGACATGTCGAACACCAACCATCAAACACCAAAAGTACTTCCGACATCAAATTGCCGGCAAAAAGATCAAGTGAATCAAGAGCAAACCAACAAGAACTGACACCCAACTTCTCTTGCTTCTCCTGTGCCTTCCACCATGTAGCCCATCAGAGTCCATGGTGCCCCAGAGAAGCCGATGACTGGCACTTTGTTTTTCACCTCAGAGGGAAAATTAGGGAAAACCATTAAAAAGCAGTATATTGCTTTGACATACCACACTACTAATGCAAAGCTCTCCAACGTGATGGAAATGCTGAAATTCTGACATGAATCATGCTATGCAAGGTTTTACCGTGCTGAAAAAATTAGACCTAGACAAAACCACATCCTTTGCAGAGGTATGTGATCAAGCAGTATCATATCATGCCAAATGCTTGACATTTCATTGCATTACCTTTCACCTCCCCCATCCTCAATGTTCGAATGTCTTCGCCACTGTAGCCAACGTTTCTAAAGAAATTCCTAACAGCTGCTGATTGTGATCAAACACGCCCCCCTGGCTTTGCGCCTGCTGGCGTGTCCAATACACAGCATCGAAGACATAGCTTAGAGTTGCCTCTACAGCGAACCACTAGGCCACTAGGCACCCCCAAATAGTACATCTGAAGACAGCTATTTGACCTACATTTCTTTATGCACCAACTCCTTTTGCACAACAACATGCAGTGATGAAGAAATATGAACACTTTGATGGTCAAAATGTTGGCCTTCACTGCTGAAATGGACTTTGCGCAACATTAACAAAGTCAGCACTGAAAAGATTTGAAGGATGGTGGCCTCCACATCGGGGGTCAGATTCAGCTTCTCCATGTCCTGCTATAGCACGTGTGTAGCAACTGCGCAGCAACTGTGTTCAAGTCTTTGCAGGAAACGCAGGAAACGCAGGAAAATCCACATTTCCAAAGCATCCTCCGGGGTCTCGAGGGCAAAGTCGAATTGAGGACCAACCTGTCAGGGCCAGGGCCGACCAAACTTCAACACTAAAGGCGACTAGGCGACTAACGGTGTTTTTTCTATGTTTTTCTAAGATCTTCTCTGTATCTCCTCTCTCTGTGAACTTTGGATCTGAACCAAGTCTTCTCGAGCCTTGGGCTCCATCCTGCAGTTCATTCCCATGGCTACCTTGGCAATTGCAAAGCAGAGTCTGTACTAGTATTGTGCCTATCAGAAAGACATCTCTAGTGTCTGTCCTTGTTGGAACCAACCAAAGAGTGCAAGTACTGAAGTGCAGTAAACTAGGCATTTCAAGCGTAGTCAAGCTTTGGGATTTCATCATCGATAGAAGCGAGCGCTGACTGCTGAGCAGCATTGAAACTAGTAACTACCCTGGTCTTGTCTTCAGCAATGAAACAACTCGACAAGATGAGATCTGCTGCACATCCCAAGCATGCAGTATCCGCAATAGAGCAAGGCCGGCGCTGGAATAACCAAAATGTCAGAGAAAATGATCAAAGAATCCAGGCTTGGATACCTGCGGTACCTGGCATGCAGCATTTTTTTTGCAAACTTTGATGCGGCCCAGTTCTTCTTTGCAAACAGATTCATCATGCAGTACAGAACGGCTATTAGAAACAGCATGCAATCACTGGGAAAGTTCTACCGTGGACATGGGTGGTGGGCCCGAAAGGATGCATAGTCAGAAGGTTCAAGGGCTCTTGGAAGCAGCATCAACATCGTGAGCGTCCAAACATACATGGAGAGAAGCGCAAAGGTGTGTCTATCCAACTTCTTGATGCGCTACTTGTCCAACATGTCAGCGCACGGCTGCAGCGTAATTTCGCATGCCAATTCTGGCCTCGTTGCCGGCATAAGAGAATTCATGCTGCAAATGTCACACTCCCAGAAATCCCACGATTCTGTGTGCTACTGGGACGCGTCTTGCAAACCGTGAAGAAATCCGTGTGACTCAGCATCGCCTGGCATTCCAAGATTCCATGAAGCGGCTGCAGCGTCAATTGAAGTCGCTTGGATTCACTTGGCGTCATTAGCCATCTGTTTGGTCTCCTGCTCAAACCTCTATAGAGTGCACCCGTCTCGAGGTTACATGTTAAAATGTTTCACCCAAACCCCAGTCCTCCCAAAACCCTGGCCCCCACACCATCTCAGATATCTGTAAAATGACGGCGGGTGCACCAAGTACTCAGGCAAGTACCTTCAGACGTAACGAAGGATACAGGCCGTTGGGCACAAGTTTCTTGCAAACTCTGTTCAAAGGAGTAAAACCAAGCAAAACGTTTCCGGTCTTGCTTTGCAACCTTTGACCATGCTTTCCGGGGTGGGTGGTGATATGGATGAAAACTCAGATGAAAAATCATTAGGGTGTAAGTGAGCTTTATTGAAAGCACGACAGGAATCTCGTACCGTCCAGCTTGTCTCATCATCCACTTCGGGGCTCTGTCAACCTAGCAAGCAATGACTAGAGTGACTAGAATATTGGGTGCTCAGGATCGGTTTTGAAATCTGGATTCAATCTGCTCCCATCGCAGTTGAGTAGTATGATATGATATCCACTGCATTGAAATCTATCTGCTGAGAGAGAGTATAGAAAAATATTCTGATGGAGCGAGAGTAAATGGGTTGTTTCCTTTCATACTGCAAAGTATACTAATGTATCTGCTCGTGTCATCAAGAAGAAGCAGAAACAAGCCAGATTGACTGACTCTCCCCGAGCAGCCCTGACAGAGTGGTATTCCACGAAACTTTAAAAAACAAACAAAAAATGTCAAAAGTCAATTCCGGACGGAATCTTCTCGAGACAATGTTTCAAGTTGTTTGGCTCAGTGCAATGCCTTTCTTGTGAACACTCGACATCTAAAATAAGAGCACCAGTTCTAGCGCACTATTTTTGCCCTGCTAAAGCTCGGCAATCTCCAGGAACTGTGAAATTGCAACAGCATCAGGATAAGGTTCATCAACCTGAGGAGAACATGGACGTGCTGGACGTGCTCTAGTCAGACATGCTGGGGGCGAAGAGGTTCCAGTAGCAACATAATGGCGGATGAAGAGTGTGGGCTGGAGTCATGGCTCACGAAAAAACCAGAAGTAAGAAGTCAAGCATGTGTGGCCTGAGTAACCCATGTTTTCGCAATCCAGATGTATGTGCTGCTTCGGTGCTTTCACATTTGTGCACCTTTAGCCCGGCACCTGAATCACCCGTGTGCTGAATTCATTCCTTCCTCGGTCGAGGGCTATGAATCCCACACATTCACAATGAAAATGACAGTCCGTGGAAGGAATCCTTCACTATCCTATCTATCCTGTGATTGCCACACTATTCACCTGATGCACAAGGGCTAAAAGTATCTGAAAGTTATAGTGCATAATATGATATCATAAATTATTCTATCAACATATATTGTCTATATTAATATATTAATAAGAAGAAGAAGAAGAAGAAGAATTAATAATTATTATTATTATATAATAATAATGATAATAATGATAATAATGATAATAATAAATAAATATATATATATATTATAATTGAATGAAATGGATCGCACTGGCCATGACTTGGCAAGTGTCCAGGCTTCACGAAGTCCAGGTACTTTGCCAAGGCACTAGCCTTCCTCTCGGAGCAAACTTTCTGTCGAAGCATGACAAATCTGACCCTCAAGGAATGTCTTCAGAATGTCATCAAATTTCATCCGAAGAAAAGAGTTCTCTAGAAAATCTATTAGATCACGAGCTAAACTGCTCCAACATGGGTGCAACCTATACCATAGCAACTCTTGCATCACTCAGGCACCCCAAAAATGCGTCAGGTGTGTCATATTTGCAACACGAGAAATAAAAGATTTTCAGGAGAGATAGGCCATTGCTGTCAGCGTCAAGTGCATTGTGAAGCGCAGCTGCTCCTTTTAACGTTGTCAATCTGTACGGTTCCACCAACTCCTTACAAATGCTTGGGCTTGGGCCAAAACCAGAGATTGAACCTTCGATTCTAGGCAGGAACTTGTAACAAAATAACTGCCAAATTCCGCTGAGACAATCTGAATCATTAAAAAACAATTAAAACGGAACAGCTCCTAACTCATAAAGAGGCTGACGACAGCAGGGGAATAATGTTTGATTTGCTCTGCCTGCAAATGAATCTTTCTTCAATCTCCAAAATGCGAAGCAGAAACGCGTAGAAGAGGGCGCACACACACAAGGAGAAACAATTCTGACTGGTCAAAGAGTCTCAACCATTCGAACTCAATGCTGCTCCATGCTGCTCAGACTCTCAGCATTTTCTGCTCTAGAATTGTCTTCAAATAGGGCAGAAACAGTTTCTCCTGGCGATGTGCATCACAAATAGGTTGGAACATTACGATGTATCATGAAGGGCGACGATTTTAAAGAAAATCAGATGCAAAAAGATATGGTGATATAGTATTGTGGTGGCAGTGTGAGTTTCCTGAAGCTGCAACTAGTGACTCCCTACCCCAAGTTTGCGTTTGCACATGACTCCGACACTCCTCATGATCAAAGACCATAGAGTCAAAACTCTTCAATTGATAGTCATCCTGACAAGGCAGCAAGTTTTGCCCTGAACGTGCTTCGTTCATCTTCTTTCTAGATGTTCTAGAATCATCCAGAATCATCCAGAATCATCCAGAATCATCCAGAATCATCCAGAATCATCCAGAATCGTCCAGAATCTAGATGCTCAAGATCGGAACACTCTGGCTCCACTTGAAGCAGCTTGACGCTTGAGTCTGCTTCCACGATGCCTTCACCTTCTTCAGAAAGTCAGAGAAGTCTATCTTCTCTGGCAAAAGCAGAGGAATCCACCTCTGAATTCTGCGGCGCTACAAGCAGTCACAGCTTTGTATAGCTTTGCACTCTTGCACCATTTGCTAATTGCGACTGCTTCAACCAACTTTGACCCTTCAGAAAATGAGAACCCGACTGAACATGTGAGCCATGGCCTGCATGAGCAATGATTCCTTAAAATTCAGACAGGAGAGGATCCACTGTCCACTGCCAAGCTGAATGTTGGAATGACAGCACAATGTTTTGCGCCGCCGTCTCTGCTCCAGTCTCAACAACACTAAGGTGGCCCAACGGTATGCCCCGGCACCTTTTCCTGATTAGGGGCGATCCCCCAAAGAAAGGAACAGCCAAGGCTCTTTTGGCAGCCTTCAACCACTCCTTGTTGGTCTCCGTGCTGATAATCCTTTGCACAACATAAGATTAACCTGCACTGCTAAAAATGCATGGCGATCTGTAGAATCTGCAGGAGCTGTAAAACTGCTAGTCGCCCAAAGAGGCAGCGCGACACCTCCAAATTCCAACATAGTTTTGAGATGTTTTGAGGGACTCGCAGCCAGCGATACTCTTTGGCCAACGTCTTGTTGGAGGCTTCTGTCACTGGGAGATGTCTCGATCCCAGTGCACCAAACAAAAGCTACTCTGCTGCTGGGAGACTTGCTGCCAGGACGGTCTTTAAGTGCCTTGAAAATGCTCAAGGTGCCATCTCCTGCAAGCTGCGACAAGTTCAAAACAGGGCGCTGTACTGCCATCTGTGACTCTTGCAGTTCTGAAAAACGCATTGGATGAAACTGGAAGATCCGCAGAAAAGTTTTCCGACTTGAAAGGTTTCTTTGTGTCTGATATAGTACATCTATTGTTCAAAGAACTTGCTTGTTCGAAAATATCTCTGACGAAGATTAGTACCCTTTCGCCAGTGGGTTCCAGTATTCCAAGAGCTGACGCGGTCCCACTAGCCTGCATGACAACCCAGTTCTAGGACCACCACAGGCCCTATATCGGGCTTGCCTTTCCTGAGAAGCAAAATACCAGACTAAGGTAGGATGGCGAACGTATGACTCATGGCGCACTAGGATTATCTTGCAAGAAATTGCAGCTAGGATGCACGACGGAGTCAAGAATTGTTTGACCTTGGACACGACTTCTGTTTCTGGATCACAACTAAAAAGGTACCCTCCAGACCCATTCTCCCAACGCTATATAGTAATTATGTGATCACCTGAATTGATTCCCAAATCATGCCAAGTCACCTTTCTGGACGCCGAGATGCATCCCCAACTGGTTCTGCTCACCTTAGTCCGTCAGAGCGGATCGAGTCATGCAAGGTCTCTTGCCAATGGTGCAAAGCCTAAATCAAGCTCCAAAAATGCACGGTCCCATCTTGTTCACCAACGCTTTGTTCTATAGAAAGCGCTTGCACTGAAACAGCTTGTGACATGTTTTCCGTGGCCACTGTGCACACAGCACTGCGGATTCTTTGGTCTGTCTATTCCTGGTCTGGCCAGACCTGGTAGACGACATTTGCAGAGACGTATCTGTTCGCTCGCTACCACAATGGCGCTGAAGTGGCTCTTCCGAACATTCAGCAAACTCTACATGTTTCAAGTTGCTTGCCTTGGAGAACTCTTGGAGAACTCGGTGCAGTGCACTAACGGCTCACTGTCTCAATCTTGAAGGATCATGCCATTCATTCTTGCAATAGCCAGTGGTGTGCGCCCATGAAGATCAGGGGCACGTAGATCCTTTGAACAAATCCAATCAAAAGGACTCTGCATAAAATGCTGCCAATGAAAAAAATGGAAATTATCAAAAACACATCATGTACAAATCAGACTCAATCATAATGTCCAAATCATTCAAATCACTTACAAATAACATATATGCATTGAGGATCTCACAAAAGCGCCCGTGACTTCTGCTCTGGTGCATGGCTGGGCCCCCCACAAAGCCGGCACGCTGCAAGAGCACTAGGCAGGGCTGAGCACGGGAAGCAGCCCAATGGGCCGCAGTGCGGCCCAAATGATCGCGCCTCAGTTGGCGTTGAAAGAATTTGAGAGATATAACTGATATAACAATTTTGACAGATGACAAAGGATATCAAAGCTTCAAATCACCACAACTTCAAGAGCGTTTCGCCCACCTGTCGCAAACTCTCGCTGTGTTTGTTGCCTCCATTATTTGTCAACAGTGCAACTGAAGCTCACGTCGCGGTTTGCATTGAGGATCAGGAGTGCGCTCAGTAGTGGCCCGTGATTGTCGCCCGCTGCCAAATGCAAAGCAGACACGCCGGACTCCTACAGAAGAAATGTGGAAGGAATTCCTTTTCGTCAACTCGCGCTACTAAGTGCGTAAGCTCTTGTGCTGTTGGTACTCAAGTGGCAAGCTCTGCGAATGACTTGCTCAAGCCTTGCCTTTGTGTGATTTTGCGTGTGAAACAAACAGACTCAGCAGTCGTCACATATCGTTTGGAGGACTGAGGGACTCAGGCTGACTCCGGATGCCAGAGGCACAATGTTGCAAAGACACAGCTTTTGCCTTGCGGTTCTAGGTTGGGAGCCGAGTGCGGATTTGGGTTCTCACAGAGCGCTGCTGCAGTCTGACAAAGCGCTTTCAAAAGTAGAGGAGGTCATCAAAGTGCGATCAAGCAAGCCCACAAAACATAGTTTGGTTCACTCACAGGTGTTGCCAATGACATCCAAAAATCACACGCAACTTGGGGATCGTGGGTAACTGAGCAGTCTGCTGATTGTGTCGAGCTTGCTGATGTCTACCAAGAAAGATAAGAAAGTGAGATATGCAAGCCACCAATACCCACAGACTGAATGTTCAACTTTGTCACAAGTAGCTCCTCTGTGGCATCAATGTCCCGATCACCCCGCTGCCATCGAAGCAGTAATGGAGCAGCATTGACCTGCCAAACATTCCACACTTGGGTATCGGTTACGAGAGCTTGTAGCATCTTGTACTTGTAGGAATATTCAAGTTTGACATGGAATACATGGATAAAGAACGCAAGATCAAAACCCCAACTGTGAAGAATCCGATATGAAGCTTGTGGGCACGAACGCACTTCTGGGGTGGCATGTTGTTTGCTGGAAGCAGTTTGATTCTGAACACATCTATCGGGCTGTGTCTTTTCCACTGCCCAACTAGCAGTGCCGCTCTTGCAACCTTCAGGAAAAATTCGCAGGAGCCCTCTATCGCTTTTGTACAGTGACATGGAGCCTAGCAAGATTTCACGTAGTCATTAGCCTGAGTTTCGCATCGGTCCAAAACGTTGCGGCCCTTCACATTTCCTGACCGCGCATCCAGCGTCTTTGTAAGTACAGAGGCAAACTCCTTGATTACAGGGTGCCATAGGGCCATAGGGCAAGCCCTTTGGGGAAGGCATTCCTTTTACCATCATACCCTCCACGGGGCAGAGAATCAAGTGTCAACTTTGCAGCAAAGCTTGCGATGAAGATGTTGGGCTGGTTGAGACCACGCAGGCTGTCCTCAAATTACTTGCAAATGAAGAAGCTCATCCTTGCCAGCTGATCAGCACGCCGCAATTGCTCCGGAGTGTACTCACTACGGTCTTGTTGATAGATCGCTCTCTGAATGTCCAGACCAGAATTTGCTAGCGACAGTGCATCTGGCTTCGAATAGTCGCCAGATGCTTTCTTGGTGGGATCATAGGAATAGGCATCTATAATTGAGGTTTCACCTGAGCCTTTTTGTGGTACTGCAGGCTTCTGCTTTTTGGAGTCCTGGCATTTCTATGCGCAACGTTTTGATGTGTTCAGGCTGCACCACCATGTCCCCTGCACTACTGTCCCATCCATCAAGGTCATCCATCAAGGTCTACAGTAAGCTACCAATTGACACAATCTTTCAGATCACCTTTCGTCCAAAAACTTGGGAAAACTATGTTTTTAAGTGGCTTTCACAGCCTCCTGATCTTGCTTCTTCTCCTTTTTTCTCTCTTCGTTTGTCCTGCTTTCAAGGGTTCATCTGGGTATTGAATATAGTGAATGAAGTGCTGGAAATCCAGTGGCACCATGGGACTGCAGATGCAACAAGTCCTTCTCTTCTTGGCATACATTCTGCCCATACACTGTCTAAGTACCGGCAATTGTAAGGACATTCCAAGACCCTGGTCCTCTTGTTTGTAAGCTTCGAGTCTTTCTTTTCCATGTTGTCTGCACTGCCCTGTTTTTCTTTTTCGCGCTCTCTAGCTGCAGCTGCTAGAGCAGCTTCAAAACTCTGTCTCTGTAGTTCCTCCTGCTAAGTCAGTGCGCCGGCCAAAAGAACGAACATTTGATAGAGACAGTTAATCAGTCTATGTGTTTATCCCTTTGTTGCAATATGCATGGCTTAAATGCAAGGTAATTTAACAGAACCGGTTTTTCTATGAATCACTTCAGACAATGAATCCTCTCGGTCTTTTTTCTGTTTCTTTTTTAACTTTTTCTCCTGGCAGGAAACTTCAGCAATTGAAGGGGAAAAACGTGAAACATCGTGAAACATAATTTTAGAAGAAAGTCATCACGGTGGTTTCTATCTGAGAAATGGGCCAACAGGAGTTTTTGCCCGTCGCTTTCGAAGTAATGGCAATGGAGTTGCGAGACTCTAGAAGGGCCGGAGCATGTCGCATCTTCAAAGCAACAAGAAGACACTCAAATATATAATTCCTTGTCCTCACTATCGTCGCCATCGCCATCGTTATCAGCCCTATCGTCCCTATGGTCCCTGTCGGCCCTAGCGGCCCTATCGTCCTCATCCTCGTCCTCATCCTCATCATCATCATCATCATCATCATCATCAGAATCATCAGAATCATCAAGCTCATCCTCGCCTCGAAGCGACCCTCAGCGGCTTTGTCACTCAAGAATCCACAAAACCGCCAAAACTCTGAACAATTGTCTGTCAAACTACCATCGCGACACCAGTTTTGCAACTTCAGTCCATAATAAAACCAATATGACGAACGTGTCCTCCTTCTTCTTCTTTTTATCACTTTTATCCTTCTTGCCTTTGTCCTTCTTCTTTTCCTTCTTATGCTTCGCAGATGATTCAGAAGATGAGGCCATGAGCACCCGGTTTAGCAGGTCGCGGATTGGAAGACTGAAGCCATCTGAAGCCAAATGCCTTGCCTTCACTCACAGTAACACAAGAAAACTATAGAAAATTAACAATATGTTGGAAGAGTTGCCCTAATCTCATCTCATTCTACAAGTCCCACTACGTACTCACAATATTCTCCGCTATCTTTCTCATGCTTTCAGAAAGAATGCCGAACTACTGTATACACAGCAATGTTACGTAGCATATTACTGTTCTATCGCAATCCTCTGTACTGACTTGATTGACACAAGGAACCAATTCTTCCAACGCAAACATCATGATATAAGTAAAATGACAGACTGGATTCTACACACACTCTCTCTCTCTCTCAAACAGTCTGACTGACTCACCTCTCTGTCTCTCCAAGTCTTATCTTCCCCAAGATATCCGTCCTCCGGCTGTTGAAAGCATCGGGGGAGCTCACATTCCACCAAATCCACAGCCTGCATGTTGTGAGCGCTTCAAAAATGTGCCCAGGACTTGTCGTTCACAGACCGGGTTCATCTTATGACCACCGTCATGATCGTGCTTGACACATCTTGATACAAATTACGATGTTAAGCTGCTGTCTTCCTTTCCTTTGCTGTGGCACTGCGAGTAGACCCAGCTAACTATCCACATCTATCCACATCGCATGCAGGTTCAGTTCCCTAAATACCACTGTGATGTCTGGTCTCCTCTGATTTTGCTACCACTGCTGGATGAGCATCTAAGCCTAAGCGTCGCAATCCAGTCAGTGCAGTTGAGTGATTTCTACACTGTTGCACCTGCAACATGTGAACTCTCATGTGTAGTTAGTAGCACGACCACAGGAAGAAAATCTCCTAAGAAGCCAAACAAAAAAAACTATTGGCTGAATGGGGCTGAACGTACGGATGATGTCAAAATGATCTCCTTCGATCTGTGTCCAATCCCGCAGCGTTCCGGCATCTGGCATTCTGGCCAAGCAGCAAAGCTTCCGCACTATCTGCAACGCCTTCCCTGTTGCAATCACACCACATGCAGCACTGAGGACGTCCAGGGCAAACCTCGCCAATCGCAGAAGGAAAACTCGGCCGTTACTGTACAATATGGTACCAGACTCTAGACATAAATCGGGCTTGTAAAGCCACGTGAAAGATACAAAATCACATCGTACAGTAGCTTGATGACACAATTTGTCAGATTGTGGTTTGCAAACATTTGCAGCAATTGAAGCCTTCTTCGAGATGCTCCAGTCAGGACATAACTCTCGCCTCGCTGTCGACTGAGCAATGTTGCAGTTGCGATCAACGGGTAGATCGTCATCAAAAAAACGGCAACACTCCATAATCCAATCTCAAAACAATCTCAACCCCTCTACGGGAGGTTTGTGGAGATCTCATTGCACCCAAGAACACTTTAAAAACGAGCCAAAAGGAAGATGACTAGCCCTGGAGATCCTGCTGGTTAAATCTTGAAGTATCAATACGCTGAACCAATACTGAAACATCGCTGACATGGGAAAGCCAAGAAACGTGAAGCTGCCCCAAATGCGGCTAGCTCTCGCAGTGACACCGGAGCCGGCTGCAATGGATCTGCTAGACGCATCCAAAGCAGCTCGAGGCCTCGCCACGAAATCCCAAGAATGCCGAACAGGCAAACAATATCAAACAATGCCGGTTGAAACTGCAAAGTTCGAGACCCAAAAATGCCTGAGAAGCAATCACCCCTATGGCCCAGAGTGCTGATTTGATATGATTTGATACCTTTTGAAAAAGACTGCTGTTGCATGCTATTGTATACCTGTGGACTGACGCCTTTTAACTGGGTTTTGTGTATTTTGTCCTTTGTCGGGGCCAGCTGCGGCTTTCCCAATAAACAGTTCAGTCTTATCTAGTTCTGCTTCGTGTTTATTCAGTGCAATAGACTTTGATAGAAATCCTCAAGTTCTATATGGAGTTGCCACCATCGTCACTCTGGAAAACTTCAAGCTGCTTTCTTTGAAGCATGAAAGGCTCTTATTGCCTACATCATATAAATTATATAGAATCAAACTGCGGCTTGCGGCGAAGCGCAGCGACGGCTGCCTTTTTGAGCTTAAAGGGCGCCCTGTGCAGAGCAGTTGGGCATTTGGAAGTACCTGTGAATGCTGGAGCAGGTGGACATGAGGCTATGAGGTCTGTTTGGCAATGGTCGTTTCACACCCGTCCTCAGCTTTCACAGTGTTGCTACTGGCAGCAGAAGTTGCAAACTTCCTAGCTGCTTTTCTGGCATGTCTGCCAGCTCGAATCTGTACCTTGCGCAGCTTGGCCTGTTCAGATGGCTCTAGCTGCCACTGGCCCCTCTCTAACGCATGCAAAAGGGAATCCCTCTCGCAACCAAGGTTGGTGAGAACGTCGGCTAATATTTGGGACGTGTCCGTCCAAATTGCGAAAGCATCAGGGTCATTTTCGTAGTTGTTTTCACCTATCATCTCTTTGATCTGTGACACAAGGATTCGGACACGCTTATCGGTCGGCTGACCTGCATCACGGTTCAGTGTCTGTTCCAGACTCTTTGCGTCCGTGAAGCACATCAGTTTGCTTTTGACGAATTGAAGATCTAAATCTAAAAGTCTCTCACCTGGATGCGTGATCTCCATCAGCAGGGTCCCCAAGTAGCCCCAGCTTCAACTCCATTCAAAAATCCATTCGATTCAGCAGCCAGAGTGCTGCGGCAAACTCTTTTGATGCTACCTGAATACGTCTCTAGGATCATGATGGGGCAGGAGGATCCATCCCTCAGTGCAGAAACAGAAAGACCAGTGATGAAGCCGCACTGGGACTTCAAATTTTCGCCATTCGCAAAACTGCTGTCAGCAAAAACGAAAACGCTGCAGTTTTCCAAGGTCAACTTGTCATTGAAAATGAAATTCCATTTGGCTTGGTAGCTCTCTTTGAGGGCTTTCACGGCTTGTTCAAATTGATCACATCCTTCACCTTTGGGGAACTCATACTTTGGGCAGCAACGCTAACGTTCACCATGAGGTCGGGCCTAGATTGGCGTGTGACCCAACCCATCTGGCCGATGAGGCCACGAAACAAAGACTTTTCAGCCTCTGTGAGAGGGCTGTTCACCATCTTTCGCCTGTCACCAGGCAGCACCATGTAGTCGATCGCCTCAATGGCATCGTACTGGTCGACCTCAATGGAAAAATCATCAGGCTGAAAAACGTTCTTTCCACAAAAACGAAACTTGCCCTTGTTGATCTTCAAATGGATGCCCTTTTGCATGGCCTCAATGGAAACATGAAACTGTTTACCTTCTCCAGCGCAAAACAAATCATCGACATGTGTGATGAGAATGCCACACAGCTTTCCATCCACCACCAAGAAAAATAGTGCGTGCTCAAGACGCAACATGATCCAGTTATAGTACCTCAGGGTTTTGTAGAGCTTCTTCCACCAAGCTCTGCCAGCATCTTTGGTACCATAAATTGAGCCAAGTGCTCGGAGAGGGTCATGAGGAGAAATTCCAGGAGGAGGTGGTCTCGGTGGCCTGAGCAACAGCAAGCGGCTGATGCCATTTGACTGGAGGTAGGCAGTGGATGCGTCACAAGCCATGACAATCAACTTCTGAATAACAGCAACTGCACAAACCAAATTGAAAGCAAGAAGGTTGGCCGTTGGTGAATCACTTCTGATACCAGTGTCGGTCTCTTGATGACCTTGGACAACTAAACGGCTCTTCGCTTCCAGGGGAAACTCTTTCTGAATTTGAGCTTGTGACTTTCCAGTTCTGCCTTGAAGAGCGGCAGACATGAGGCGCTTTTTCTGGTTCTTGTCAGTGTGGACCCATCTGTCCCGATGATCTTGGCATCTTCGGGCAGGTCCTCAATTTGCTGAGGTGAAAGGATTTCCACGGCGTTGAACTTTTGCCAGGATGACCACTCCTTTGCCATACTGTCATCGTACTTGGCACGATCTTCTGGAGAAAGATCTTTCAGGGAAATCTCAGAGCGCACAGCTTCTCCTGTGAGGAAAACATCACCAGGTCCTTGAAGGTCTTCAACAAAACATTGTTCTTGCTCCTCTTCTGACTGGGATGGGGTAAATGCCTCACCCTCATAGTTGAGCATCCTCTCCGGATTGAAGGCATTGTTTCACATTCAAAATCATCGTCTTCAACAAAGTAAGGCCTCTGAGGTGGTTGGCCATGTTGTCTTTGGACGGCTCGATAGCCATCAAGACGATCTGGGTCTCGAAGTGCCGTTTGGAGGTTGCCAGTCTGAGGTGCAAGAAAAGGGACAGGTACAGGCTGAAGTCCAAGTCCAAGTTGTGCCTGACCTGTTGGTGTGTTGATCGGCTGTGGTTCTGGTTCAGGAGCTCCAGAAATTGTGCTCAACTGCTGGTCATGGGCAGGATGTTGGTGGTCATCATGACCCATTGGTTGATCAGGAGGGTCTGCAGGCCCTTGGGGAACTTCATCATTCGTTGTTGGAGTCGGCTGCATAGGTTGATCTCCTTCAGCATCAGGTGCAAACTCACTGGGAGAGTACCCTGGAGACTGAAGTTCATCGGCAGGTGCAGGAAATGGCAGAGCAGGTGGTCCAGTTGATGAAGCTGGTAGTGCAAGAGGTTCTTGACCTTCAGGTTGAGCAGGGGAAGCAAGAGGACCTGGCAGGTCAACAAAGTTCCTTGCTCCACGTGCATATTCAGGCTCCAAAACTTCTTGTGGAATTGTATGAGCGGCAATCAGCTCGTCTTCACTTGCAAAACGCAACTGCTCACCTGTCACCAAAACACCTGATGAACCATACCTGAGCCAGTAGCTTCTGGGCTGTCCACCATCGGTGGGAAGTTCTTCTTCATCTTGAAGCCGTGTGGGAGATCTGAGCTCGCAGCCAATGACTCGGGCTGGACCAAACCATTTGTAGTTTCGTCGACTGCCTTTGGGCATCTGAAGCCGGAGGAAGTAAAGTAAACATTGCTTCCCACAGGAAAAGGCCCTCTCGTAGGTGTGGACTGGTGAAGCAAGGCGCGTCGCACACGAGAGTCAGTGTCAAGCCCGATCTGGGCAACTCTTGCGGCTTCTCTGATACTCAAAGTTTTGGCCATTGCTGACTTTGGGTCTTCAGCGGCCTCAAGAATCTCCAAACGTTGGGATTCCTCATCGCTCAAAAGTGAGCCAGGCAGTCTGATTTCTGGTTGGCCTAAAACTCATTGGTTCGGCGAGTAGCCGTTGCTTCTTGGAAAGGAGTTGCGGCACTGGGTGATGATGGACGTGGCGAGGATCATGTCGTCCAAACCACGCGGCTGCATCTCATGGACAGTTCGCATGAGGATGTCCTTCCATAGGCCACCGGCTCGTTCAACTTTTCCGCTCTTCCATGGGGCTTCGAGCGGCATGTTCTCAGTCTCAACGCCAAACTGTTTCATGTAGGCAGTGAAGTCAGCCATGAATTCCTTCCCCAAGTCAGCTTGGATCGACTGAGGGAGGCCTGCCCATGAAGTCCATGATGTCAAGAAATGCCTGAGAACAGCTTTGGACGCAGGTGGGCCACGGACAGTTCCAAGACAGCTGACAACTTGGAATCCAGTCGCATCATCAATCACATTGAGAAAGCAAAAAGACTCATTCTCAATGTCCTTTCCATAGAAAACATCGACAAGCAAGTGGTTGTTGAAGACATACTTGTTGGGAAGACGAACTGGCTTGGGACGTCGCCTTCTGATACTTTCACCGCAAGCATCGCATGACAACAATTCAGCGCCAGCAACTGCTTCTGGCTTTGCACCTTGTCGGCGGAGAACCCTCTGCAAGGTGATGTTGGTGGGATGGCCGAAGTTGACATGCAATGTTCTGAGGATCTTGCGGATGTCAGGGTCGATCTTGAGCCATTCTTCACGTCGTTGGATTTCAGCTCGATGGAGCACAGGCTCAAGTTGTGAGGCTTGTCGTGCCCTCACATCAGCATCGTCTTCATCAGGAGGATCTTCAGCAAAGGGATCTCCATCTTGGATTGCAAGTTGAAGAGGTTCAGATGGTCCCAAGTAGACCGGAGGGGCTCCACCATATTGGCTGGTCAAGGTGGTGACCCGTCCTTTCCTCCTTCTTTTGGGACTCTTTCCAACTTGAGGAAGTCGGCGAACTTCTGCAGGGAAAGAATCTTGAGCTTGTTCATAGGCAGCTTGCTCAATCACAGCTTGTTGCACGATGGTTTCCAGCACACGCTTGTTGAGCTTGTCAGGCCAGACTGAGGCTTGGACAGCGCGCTGACCTTGAGAGTTGGCTCCTTCAAGGTGTTGATGTTGATGAGAACCATCGCAAGAGGAATCTTGGAAGAGGCTTTCAGCTGCTATCATGGATGTCACATAGGTGGAGGGCTTGAAGTGCGGAAGTCCAGAATCAGCATCTTCATAGCCAAGTTGGCATCCATGAGCCTTGATGACGATCAAGTCGCTGGACTGAATCAAAGCTCTGACACCTTCAAGTTCAAGCTCATCAAGCCATGAGGATGCAGAGGGCTGTTCGACAAAAACATGTCGTTTGGCCTTGACACGCTTGCAGATCGTGTCATTCACCAACTTCAGAATCGGTCGGCCACGTTCTTGTAGTTGAAGAACGGTCAGCGCGGCAGGACCACCGCGGGCCACGTTGAATCGTGCCCAATTGCCCCAAGGACCACAAGGCTGTGTCAGAACAGTGCAGTAGGGATCCTCAACCTGGAAGTCATGGTTGAGCTGTCGAAGTCCATCTTTTGTCGTGGCATCCCAGTTGGAAGTGCTAAAGTCCAAAGGCACTCCAACCGAAAGTCCATATGCCACAAGCAGGAGAGTCAAACCCATTTGTCCTGCAAAGAGCTGTTTCATCCAGCACTTTCCATAAGGAGGTGACTTCAGAGCTGGAGTCTTACCGGCCAACACCCGGAAGAAACGCCAATCATCCCCGTCAACGGCATTGGACATTGCGTGAAGCTTCTTGGCCTTTTTGTGAATGGCTTTCCGGATGGTGTTGGGCTGCTCTTGCATGAGGGACTCAAACAGATACACGTCCTCGCAAGTTGGGCCATCATCTTGGGCAGCATGAAGGCCTTGAGCAGCAGCACGTGCTTCTCTGCCAGCAGCAATCTCGGCTAAAACTTGATCACAGCTGGCTGCCTCGGCACGCAAGAACTCCAGTTCGTACTGCTGGTCAAGCCAATCATCAGGATTGACGCCAGGAGGGCGATCCAGCATAGGATCATGAACACAATCCTCGGGAACTTCATCTTGGAGGTATCCTTCATGGGCTTCCTCAGTGGTGAAATCATCTAACTTTTCCAAGTCGAAGTCCAGAAAACTGATTGCTAGATGTCCACGTGAGGTTTTGATTAACGGCAAGTCCAAAACGTTGATCTTTGTGAAGGAAACAGTGCCCTTGCCCAAATCCAAAACTGTACCCAATTCTTCCATGAAAGTGCGAGAGAGAAGGAGTGGTGTTGCTCCAGGTTTTTCGGCTGAGTGGATTTCGCCATGGGTTCCTGCCGATGGGAAAGACCTTGACAGTGGTGCTTGCAACTTGACCTCAAACCCCAGCAAAGAGTTGATTCTTGACTCTGCTTTTGGGCGAAAGTCCAAAGGAGGCAAGTGCAGCTTCAAACTTCTCGGCCCATTGCTTGCCGTGCATGGTGCGGGTGCACCCACTGTCGAGGATTGCAAGTCCAGGAGGATCAGCATCGGAAGCCACATAGGCTTGGGCAATTGCATCATTGTCATCGGGCATTTCAACCATCATCACTTCACAGTCATGGAGTTGCACGATCTTGGGGTGATTGGGATCATGCGGAAGTGGAACTCAAATGTGGCGGTTTGCCACCATGTCATCAAGGTTTGCAGGTCGTTTGTCAGGACGTGCAGAACTTGACTTGATACATTTCATGCCCGCACTGTGGACCAACTTCACCGGGCCAAACAGGTAAAATGCAAAACGGTAGATCTCTGGATGGAGAGCATTTCGGCCATCCAAAACATAGTCCAAAACTTGGGCACAGTGCCATGCAGACTCAGCTGAGGACGCAACTTGGTCATACTGCAGTCCTTCAAAGGGAGTTCCAGGGCCCAGCAAATATGCATCTGAAGGCAGAGGCTGCAGCACATCAAGGTCTGAGTTATCCAACGTTGGAAACGCAGGCAAGTCATGCCGTAGATCCAGCAAACTGGTTCTTGATCACAAACTGGGGCACCATAGCCGGAAGCGCTCGAAGGAGCTTCGCTAACGACATCCCATCCAGGTACTTGAGCTTCTGAAGGCGTTTTCCTTGAAGTCGTTGAGGCTGAAGACCTTGGCAAACCAGGCAAAGAAACTAATCGGCCATCATCAGAAAGAGGTAGGCGAAGACCACGTCGTTCTTCATCAGCTTCACCGCGAACTTTGCAGACGTTGTTGAACAAAGCTCGGAACCTGGCAGCTTGTCCTCATTTGGTGCACAAGGCAATCTGGACCAAGTAGCTCCAGAGCTCATGAGGCGTCTTGCGCTTGGCCTTGATGACGGTCTTGTCGCAGGAGTCTTCCTTGCACGTCACAAAACGTGTATGTCCATTTGCGCCACGGTGAAACTGGCGCACGTTTCCACCATGAAAACTGCTATGCTCGAACAGGGTTGTATCTTTCAGCACCATCAGTACCTCATGCACTGATGAAAAAGAAAAGGGAGTAGTAAAAATGCCATCTGAATTGTTGCCACCCTCTGACACAAAGAGGACTGTCCGGTCCAGAGGCTTTGGACGCTTTGTCCGCATACGCATTGGGCTCGTTGGTGACATGGGTTGAAAAGGTCTTTGGGACCAAGTCATTCTCATGGGCCATGTCATTCACAGGAGCGGTGTCATACACAGGAACCTGGGTATACTTGGGAGGCATGTCATTCCCAAGGCACAGGTCATTCTTGAGAGCAAGGTCATACTCGGAGGTCTTGACATTCTTTAGAACGTCGTTGTTGGGCAGCTTGTTGGGAAGGCACATGAACTGGGTCTTCTCATCCGCAGACTCCAAAGAATCATGCAAGACGAAAAGGTTGGTCGCAGGCTTCTTTTTCGGTGAGCTCGATGTCAAATGTTTCTTCTTGGATTTTCCTTTGGACGACTTCTTGGCATTGGGGCAAGCATCGTCGCCATTCCAGTGGCCACGTTGTCCACAGGAGGTGCAAGGAGTCACTGATTTGCACGGCTTGTCGCCTGTTCTCCTTGGCTTTGGCATCGATGGTGACCGAGCCCTTGAAGTTGAATCTTCCACCTCCACTGCCTTTCCCTTTTCCTCCACTCATCTTCTTCTTGAACTGCTTGTGTTGGAGGACAGTCGCATAGGCCTCGGCGAGCGACTGATCACCTTCAGGGTCATCAGGGTACTCAGCTATGAAGGCATCTACCAGCTCATCATCAGAGGCTGCAACCCAGGCTTCATCATCATCGCCAGGCTGCTCGTCATCGTCATTCTGGTGGTAGGTGTCTAGGTGTCTTCAGCGGTCTCTTCATCTTCCATCTCATAGTCCTCTGCTGCAAAGGCGTGCTGCTTGCCACCAGATTTCCATCTAGGCTTTCTGAACAGCAAGGAACTCGAGGAAGATGGGGCATGTCCTCGAGCTGAAGCACCAAGGTAGTCCTTTCTCTGAACTACCTTACCAGCTGCATTTGGGAAGTGGATCCGCATCGCGTGGCTGATCTTGCCGAAGTCATACTCATTGTTGACGGAGCTCAGGACAGAAACTTGCTCCTTTGGGTCAAGGCCACCAAAGATCAGCAGCATCATCGCTCGGAGATTCTCTGACACCTTAGTTCCAGGGCTTGACTCCTCAAGTTTGCGGAAGTCCTGCTCGCGCCTAACAATGTAGGCTTGCATGCTTTCGGCAGGTCGCCTCCAAACACTTGGGCTATAGCAGGCTTGCGGAAACAACTCGTTGATTTTCACTGGCACTTCGTCAGCTATTGCTAGTTTCAACGTTTCTAAAAGCAAGTCCATGCCTTCAGTGGTTGGTTTTCCATCTCCATCTTTGGTTATCAGCCTCTTGTGTTCTAACTTCCTAACTGCTTCCCAAGCTGAATTGGACAGTCCTGCTCGGAGGTGAACAGGAGTGGCACTTTGCAAAGCATCTTGGCCAGCTCTGCCATACCAAAGATCCCATGCTCTCTCCTTGTACTCTTCGAATTGGTCTGAGTGAGGCACTTGAGTATTGGGGGACTCCATATCTACCGGTCTCCAATCTCAGCGTCGCCATGCCGTTGTGGTGCGTGTAGGCGCCGGCAGTGAAGCGGGCACCAAAGTAGCCAGCAGACACTGCTGTCCACCAGCGAAAGCGCACAGCGCTGGGGGCGCTAGGCAAGCGCTGATTGCTCAGCACCAAGCGTCTGCTGGTTACCAACCAGCTCCGCTTACCATCAAACTGCGGCTTGCGGCGAAGCGCAGCGACGGCTGCCTTTTTGAGCCTTAAAGGGTGCCCTGTGCAGAGCAGTTGGACATTTGGAAGTACCTGTGAATGCTGGAGCAGGTGGAAATGAGGCTATGAGGTCTGTTTGGCAATGGTCGTTTCACATAGAATATATTATATATATAATAGTAATATACAGTTTTGACTGCTCGCGCTTTGCCTTCTGACAAGCTCCGTCGTTGTCTGTGTAGGCGCGCAGCGACGAGTTTCTCGAAAGTGGTGAGCTGAAGCGCCTTCCACCAACCCGTGCTTGTTTGCATGCGATGACACCACTCGGCAAATGCTGCTTAGTAAGGCTTGCCGATGAATCTTCCTACTGATTGCAAACGCTACCACTTCATCTGCCAACAGTTGGCCCTCCTGCTGATAAACAGACGTAACTTCATGCTCCACCTGTCGGACAGGACTCATGCGAAGATGCTCAAATCATTGAATGTGACTCAAGTGTCAAAGACGCTCTTGCACAACAACAGCAAGGCTGCTCTAGGATTGCGCCTGATTGGCTGCGCCAAAATCCAGGGTCAAGATTTCGGCAGCTGCAGAGTCTGGGAGATCCAAAAGTTTGTGAATGTCCATCATGAGTTTCCAAATCATCCTGTCCTGCTACAATGAAAATGATGCTGATCTTGCGCAAGCTGCCCTGCTTGTGGCAAGTTGTCAGTCCTTGCGGCTCAGTAAGGCAACCTCCATTTTCATGTTGAGTACGCCTTTCGCATCGCCACTGAAGCCATATTTCGGCAGAATCTTACTTTGAATCTCCAGTACCTTATATAGTCCAGGGATGCCCAGGGAAAGAGATGTGGATCGACATCCAACACGGCTCACTTCCTGCCCAACAAAAGTGACGTCTTTGCAATGTGCCACTGCCTCTTAAGGCTTTGCCGAGGCACAAAGAGGGGACGCTTTGTTCCAATTTGCTTGTATTGGACCTGAAACTCCTTCTTTTTGTATTCAGAACGCAGTTCTGCCAACATCCAGGTCATGCTCGTGGAAGATGTCCTGGAATGCACTGGAACAAAGCAGCCTCGGGCATTTTTGCTAAAACCTGGCCTGAGCAGCCTCAGCGGCCCAAGTTGCTCCAAGATAGGCTGACTTCGTGGATTTCGCAGCTCCTCTGACCTCAGAGTTGCAATGTTGTTTTGCGATTTTTGCGATTTTTGCGGCATTCCGTGGATTGGGCGTCCAAACAGTGCTGTGATTGCTTTGGCTGCCTGGTGCTCAGGCGTGATGGCGTTCTGCAATTGGATTAAGACTTGACCAAGACCTCAGTATATGTTGAATTCTGCAGCAGGCAAGAGAGTGCACATGAACTGGCTGGGCGTCCCGTTGGACCGCTGGAAAGCATTCACTCGCAAAGTGTAAAGGGGTACAAATCTCAAGCACCTGAAATCTCATGAGGAAAAATCGTACAAGCGTCCGTTATAAATCGATTCACTTGCCCAGTCTTCTGCTTTGAAAGAGGACTACCAAGGTCTTCTCAAATCAAAAAAACATGTTTAAAGTTTGACTCAGCCAATTGCTGTGTTTTCCTGCACTGGGCGGTTGACCTGACATAGCTTGAGCTTGCGCTGAAGTGCTGTTGCTGCTCCTGGAGTTCCGTGCCCCAGGTGTGGAACAAACAAAGTGTCGCTTTGCCAAGCACATCGCTTTGTATTGTAACATGTTTCTATGTTATCATTATATATTCATCATATAGTGTTTGTCTATCATCTCTACTTAGCACCTAAAGAAGAATACAAAAGTATTCAAAGGTTATAGAAGCGAGTCCTAGCACAAAAGTTTTGATCTTTTCAATCCCAGCATCCTACGAGGGTGCATCAATGTAGCTGCCCAGCCACGAAAAGAGTCTCGCAGACCTGATGAAAATCTGAAGTCGAAAGTGGCTGCAACGTTGTTCAACAGCGCTTCTACTAGTTTATTTCGACTCTCTCAATCCTCTTTCGGTGTATAGTTTAAACCGCTTCAACATTGACATTTTTGGCTTATGCAAAACGAGTAGCCTCCAGGACGTGCTATGCTCCAGTAGACCTCTTGCAGGCCCTGAAACAACAGGAGGCAGCAAACTAATCATGTAAATTGTCTGAAACACAAAGCCACGACAGGAGCGAAGAAATATGAATAGATGTCAAGAGTCTGCAGCTCAGCCTTCCTTAGACCATTCATGTTTCGAGTTACAAATCTTAGGAGAAAACAGATTTGGGAAACCTGAGCCATAGGAAATGTTCACCTTTGTGGAGCAACAAAAAAAACATGTTCTTCGTTTTTTTCCGGTTTTGTTTCGTTTTTTTTCCGCGTGTTTTCCTTTTTTCGTTTTTTTCCACGAGTTTTTTACATGTTTGAAGGTCCCGGTCATCAGGTCACCTTAGAAAGAAAAAAACACGAAAAAACAAGCGAACAATAAAAAATAGAACGAAGAGCGAAAAAAAAACGAAAAAAACAACAACCGCATATATCTGCCAGCACGCTCAAAGGGGTGCCTAATGAATTTCAAGAATTGAGATTCTTAAGGGGTGCCTAATGGACACCCCTTAGCGTTCATGGAGATGGCACACCAGAAAATGATGAGTTCCAACCCCAAATCTTCCAATCCCACCCGCGTGGCATCTGTGGTGCACCCGACTTCATTTTTGGCGAGAAGAAATGCATGCGTTTCTTTTCGCGTCGGATGTAAAATGTTCCCAAGTTTCAAGAAACCTAGTCAAAATCGACACGAAATGACACGCGCAGGGGTTGTTCAAAAAGCACCCGACACGTTCTAAGGGGTGCTTATTAGACACCCGTTTGCCTAAGGGGTGCTTATTGGACACCCCCTACCGACCGACACGACACGGCAATGACACGCATGCGTTTCTTGATTTCCCAAAAAAACTCGTGACCACTTATGACTGACGACACGGCAATGACACGAAATGACACGCATTTCTGGAAGCAAACGTGGGGAAATCAAAGAAAAATGCACATATTACTATATCTGTTAGTTTGGAACCTTAAAAATTAAGGGGTGCCTAATGGTTACCCCCCTTAAGGGGTGCCTAATTGAGACCCGTTTGTACATCCTGGTGTATATTCGTTTTTTTGTGCCTTTTGTTTTTTCAAAATCGTCGTTTTGTTTTTTCCCGAATGCGTGGCAAGGGTTCCCGTTTCACTCTGGGGGTCTGGGGGTTGAGGGTATGTTCGCTCGACGTTGCGTTTGCGTTCGCTACCGTCCGCAACCATCCGCGGGCGGTCACACGAGGCCTTTATGGCCGTGCCTATGGCGAGTTCTGCAAAAGGGGTCACTTTTGGAGGTTTCCAACGTCTCGTAGCCTCGTTTCGCGTGGCAGGCGTGGCACTTTGTGACATTCCAACATGTTTCATAGCGTGTCGAAAGTCGTTTTGCGTCGTTTTCTGAAGATGAGTTGCAGTTTTCGTGGCAGGCGCAGCAATTTGGAGACCTCCGTTGTCATGCCGCATGGCTGGCGCAGCACTCTTTTTGCGAATTGCATTGTCACGGCTGCGTGAAATGGTGACAACGTGCAAATTCTGTGGTGGGCGTGGCATTTTGTGAGATGTGATCAAAATTGTCGGAAGCCTCGCGCGAAACATCGATTTTTATTTTGAGGTAGCAAATTTGGAGGTTCATAAGAAAACTCGTAGGAAAACATCGATTTTGAAGCTACAAAGTGTGAAAATTGGAGGAAGTCTCGCACCAAATGCTCGTTTTGATGCTCCTACATGTCCAGTCTCGATTCTCTGGCTTTCTTCTGCCGTCGCCGTATCTATGGGGGAAGCTGCCAAACCTCTCCTTTTCGAAGGTTTCCAAGCAGGTTGTCATGTCGTTTTGCGTTGCAGGCGTGGCAAGTTCTGATATTCTCACGCGCTTTCAGAAGATGAGTTGCAGTTTTTGTTGCAGGTGCAGCACTTTGGAGACCTCCATCGTCATTTTGCGTGGCAGGCGCAGCACTTCAGCGTCGCGTGTTTTTTGCGAATATCATTGTCAGGGCTGTGTCAAGTGGTGACAATGTGCAAAATCCATGGCAGACGTGGCATGTTGTGACATGTGCTGACACTCCACACTCCACACTCTACTCTCTACACTCCACACTTCACAATCTGCACTCTACACTCCACACACTACACTCCACACTCCACACTTTACGCTTTACGCTTTTGACTCCACACTTTACACTTTACACTTGACACTCCACACTCTCTACACTCCACACTCTACACTCCACACTTTACACTTTACACTCCACACTCCACACTCTACACTTTACACTCCACACACCACACTCCACACTTTACACTTTACACTCCACACTCTACACTCCACAGTCTACACTTTACAGTTTAGACTCCACACTCCACACTTTACACTGCACACTTTACACTCCACACTTTACACTTTACACTCCACACTTTACACTCTACACTTTGCACTCCCCACTCTACACTTTACACTCCACACTCTACACTCTACACTTTACACTCCACACTCTACACTCCACACTCTAGACTTTACACTCCACACTCCAACACTTTACACTCTACACGTTGGACTCCGCACTCTACACTCCCCACTCCACAGTCTACACTTTACACT